TCCTGGCTGGTTTGCCAGGCGAGTTCCATCAGGACCCGCACCTCTTTGAGAACCCGGACAATCCAAACACGTTGGGCATCCTCGGGGTGCAATATAGGCCAACGCATGACGTATTCACGTACAAGATCGAGCCCGACCTTTTGGAGAAAACTTGGACTAAGAGGTCGGTGCTGTCGACAATCGCTAGAACGTTCGATCCTAACGGATGGATCGCCCCAGTTACGTTCATGGCGAAGTGCTTTTTACAAAGGTTGTGGCTAGCCAATTTAGGATGGGACGACCAACTCTCCGGAGAGTTGTTGAAGGATTGGCTCAAGTTTGTGACCACCTTACCAGGGATTGTGCACATCGCGATACCCCGCAAGTTAGTCCCATCGGCGGGATGTAAGGCTACCCTACATGGGTTTTGTGACGCCTCGGAGCGAGGATACGCGGCAGCTGTATACCTTCGGACAGCAAGTTCAACGGGAACTGTGGACGTGCGTCTGGTCATGGCCAAAAGTAAGGTGGCACCAGTCAGAACTAGATGGACCATCCCCAAGTTGGAATTGGCAGGGGCAGCTCTTCTAGCGCGCTGGCTAAATCATGTAACCTGCAATCTGCGTGGTACCATCAACTTGGATGAAACGGTGTACGCGTGGACCGACAGTCGGATAGTTCTGTGCTGGTTGCAGACGTCGGTACATACACTTGAGGTTTTCGTGGCAAATCGGGTGTCACAGATTACGGGGTCGGAAACTCCGTTAGTGTGGAGGCACGTACCGGGAGAATGGAACCCAGCGGACTGCGCATCGCGCGGGTGCAGGGCCCCTGATTTGGTGAGTCACCCACTGTGGTGGGGACCTCAATGGCTGACTGAGTCGCCGCAGGAATGGCCGTTCAACGAGTGCAGGGCGCCGCTTGGGCCACCTGATCGAGGTTTGCGAGTGAACGTGGGGCAACTCGTACCGAAGCCTAACCCAGCTTTCTTGCTGGAACGGTATAGCTCCCTCGACAAACTTCTTGGGGTGACAGGTTGGATCAAACGGTTCGTGAACAACTGCAGGAAGCCTCAAGCAGAACGGAACTTTGCACCTGTCCTCTCGCCTGCGGAACGGAATGCGGCTCTATGCTCATTAGTTAGAGTCGTCCAGGCGGAACATTTTGAAGAGGAGGTCAGGCTGCTCAGGGATGGACGTGGAAAGCTGAAGGGAGGAATTGTGCGCCTTAACCTATTCCTGGATGAGCAAGGTATGCTCAGGGTTGGAGGCAGACTTCGGAACGCTAGCCTGCCCTTTTCGGCGCGGCATCCACTGTTACTTCCAAAAAAGGGACCCTTAGTTGAGCTCTTAGTCAGGGATCGTCATGAGAAAAACTCGCACGCGGGCTGTAATGCGCTTTTGGCCATCCTACAGCGCGAGTTCTGGATCTTATCGGGACGACGAACGGTACGTAGCGTTGTGTTTAGGTGCTTGCCTTGCTACCGTTTGAAGGCAGCCACAATGCAGCCACAGATGGGCGATCTTCCACCGGACCGGGTGACGGAGGCCTGGACCTTTGCAGGTGTGGGAACGGATTTCGCAGGCCCTTTCATGGTGAAGGCATCACGCCTGCGGAACGCAAAGTCTATCAAGGCGTACTTGTGCGTGTTCGTGTGCCTAGCCACCAAGGCCGTCCACTTGGAGCTCGTGGCCGACCTTTCTACGGAGGCCTTTTTGGCAGCGCTGGAGAGATTTACGTCGCGACGAGGGCGACCAGCGCTGATCAGGTCGGATTGTGGTACCAACTTTAAGGGTGCTGATCGGTGTATGAAAGAAATTGTAACGTTCTTAAGGGAGAACGAAGAAGCCATCAGCACGGGCCTCTCCCGTCAGGGCATTACCTGGGTGTTCGATCCACCAGCGTGCCCTCACTGGGGTGGTATTTTTGAAGCGGTTGTAAAGTCCGCTAAGACGCATTTGTTGCGCGTCGTAGGGTTAACAATTTTGACTTTCGAGGAGCTGGCAACCGTGTTTTGTAAAATTGAGGCTGTACTCAATTCGCGTCCTTTGTGTCCGCTCAGCTCTGACCCAAATGATTTAGAGGCCCTGACGCCAGGGCATTTCTTAATTGGCCGCCCACTTAACGCCTTGCCGGAATATCCCTATATGGAGGTGAATAGCAATCGTTTGTCGCGTTATCAGTTGTTGCAGCAATCGTAATTAAGCAATAAAATAAATTTAAAATGCACTTAAAATATAGTTTTGACAATCTTCTAATAGATATGATGCGATAAAATTGTCAAAACCTTTTCCTTCCCTTCATAAATACAATGCCCAGAATGGACGTGAAGAGCTTCGATCTTACTTCTTCTCGAACAAAATGTCCGATCCAGCGCCTAGGTCACAACTAACGTCTATTGCTCGAAGTGTGAGGTGGTTAAAGGATTACCAAAGTTTTTTTAGGGAAGCAGATATAATCAGGTTGTAAATAGAGTGAACAAGTTTTAGGTTTATCCAGTATTTTGGGAATGCAAGCTAAAATTGTGAAAAAGGCCGGGATTAGGCGAAGGGCCGGAATTCGGCATATTTACCCTATTTATTTTCTGCAAATAGTAACAATGACCATGGTTACATAACTTATTATTACCATAACTAAGTTATTTACCTACTACTTATTTTCAAACTGAAAACAAATACGGAACTAGTCTGATCGATATGTTTTGGTATTTTAGGAAAACTTGCAAATTTTTTTTCACCGCAGGCTGGATTTGAACCAGCGACTTTCGCCACGCTAATGGTTAAAATGCACTTGCTTAATTCGCGGGCTTGGAGTGAGCCGCTGTAGCCCAGTTGGTAAAGGCGTCGCCAGTACTGATGGCGAAGGTCGCTGGTTCACATCCAGCTTGCGCTGAAATGTTTCAAGTTTACCTAAAATTGTATACCTAACACTGGAAAAAGTTTTAGCAATTTGGTATTCAATGTTTTGGTGTTTGAACGCACTGACAGTATGAGCATTACAAACAAGATTGATTTCTGGTGCAAAACCTTCGTTTCTGGTTTTTGAACTAAAAAGACCCATAAGCCAGCGACAATAACTTGGTTTGTTAATGGCCATGGTTGATTCAAATAAGCTGCTGTAGTACCCGCACCTCACATCGCTATTTAGAATCACGAGCGGAACGAACGATTCTAGAGTATTTAGAACAAGGGATTTTAAAGAATTTCCAAAGGGATTTCCTGTCCAGGGGGTCCAGCTAATTATATGCATGTAACATTCGTTATTTTATGTTATCTGAATTTGATTCTATTTACATGCCGTGTGGTTAGCCTGGCCATCCCTGAGGCAGTGCCTTTATTTTTATTTTTTTATCCCGCCCGAGCCGCGTCTATACTAGGACCGCAAAATTGTTATAAGAAAAAGAAAATTGTGTCATTCAATTTTCTTTTTTACAATGACTTATCAATATTTTTGTAATGACTATCAATAAGAGATATTTTTTGTATCCAACTCTGAATAAATGCTTTTGACCAGAGTGAAGCAAAGGATCCTATTTAGGATAAGTAAATAGCTTTATTGAATCGTTCTTTGATTGTAGAGACAAGGAAGAACATGGGCATTTCTTCGATACCGGATCGGAAGCCACTTGAGTTGTGACGTTGTGAGCGAAACTGTGAGACGTGGTCGTATTTACGTAACCCGAAAATGAATCAGATGCAGAGGTTTTATGAGCTTCCTACTTTTATGAGGCGTAAAATGTTGCAGAGAAAAACCACGACAAAAACTATCTGGCGCCCCGCGCGACGTTTCACATTTTCGATTGATTAGCTGTCACTTTTGATCCCTAGGGCTATTTTGACCCTAGGTATTTTTGTGCGCCCAATGCGTAGGGCGTGATTTTTTAAATAGAGCGGATGAAAAGCATTTATTTCTGACTTCAATTTTTATCAAGTTGTTGAAACGCAGTAAACCACGCATTTTATTAGTTTCGGTCAATGACGCAAATCTATCTATTATGTCACCGTAAAATTACAAACAACGCTAGGCCTGGCGCTGATTTTAACCGGTTATAGCTTCTAGACTGTATTCTAGATTATTCGCTTCAGGAGAATGATCGAATTGTATTTGGAGGGTACAAATTCAGGGCTTTCCGAATATATGCTTACTTTGAGTCTAAACTGTCATTTTAAGTAGGGTCCCGTTGGATTGATGTTTTTTTACAGAGGTACATTTTTTTTATTACATTTCTGTAGGTAAAAGTTAATACCTACAAGACCACCATACCTACAAGAACTTTCATTTCATTCTGGCTTAGGGTCCCGCTGCATACCTAAACGTACTGAACTCTCACGATGTTTGTTTGTGCGCGATAATCTCCGAAAAAAAGTAGGTAAAATTATATTGATGATGATGAATCTTTTGTGATATGTAGCTACTAGACCTGGTCAACATCTAGGATACTTTTTACCGCGGAAAAGTCGCTTTTAGCGACAAGAAATATCTACGCTGCCATACAAATATGAAAGAAATATTTGTATGGCAGGCAACCCCTCTTATTTTTTATTTTATTACAATTTTTAGTATTTGTTATTACAGCGGCAACTGAAATACGACATTTAAACCTATAATGTGCAAATTTCAACTCTCTACCTATCACGGTTTATGAGATACAGCCTCCTGGTGATAGATAGGTGGATGGACGGGCAGACAGTGAAGTATCAGCTACTGGGTACCCTTTGGGTACGGACCAATGAAAAACAATGGGAGGGTAAACTTCTTTTCGAGTGGGACACCGAATCGTCCAATAACAGGTGTCAGAGTTTTTCAACTACCTACTCCAAATAGTAGGCCTCTGACATTGTTGTGTAACGAACGCCGTCTTATTAATCATAGACAACAACAGTTACCGATCGAACGTGCCCTCTCTAGCACGGAACCATCTTGCTATCGGACAATCAGATAGTTCAGAATGCAATGTCCTAACCTGGCTGGGACTGGGAAAAAAATCACTAAGTGATAAAATATCAACTTTGTGTTGTGAGTGCCCCACCGGGAATAGAACCCGAAACCTTCTGCGTCGCAGGCAGTCACACTACCATTGCATCAAGGGCAATCGCACTAAAATTGCATCACAGCTCAAAGGGAAAGGGAAACAGCTGTCAAAGGAAGAGGGAGAATAATCAATCGATTCATGTCACCAGCAACCAAAAACAACTACCTATCTATAGGTATCAAAATCTAATGGGCTTAAGATATAAACTTCTTTCTGGCAATAAAACACAGCTTCAGATACATTAGCTATTTATTGAGAACGTTGAGATTTAAATTAATTATTAACTTATTTTGTAACACGCAATAAAGTTAAGCTCAGGTTCAAATATTATGCTTCTTGCAGACAAGACAGATTATCTACAATGCAAGTAAGTATCGAACTATGAATATTATTGATAGTAGGTACCTACCTACCTATTGATAGGACGATACTACCGATTGTAGGTACATAACAATGGAAGTAGGTACTAGCTAGTTTAAGTAGTACAGTCATGTACTTTGTTAAATACTAGATAGTTCAGCCTTTAAAAGGGTACGTAAATACGGAAAAGGTCTGGTCAACCCTTTTTTGGTATTTTGGGTTTTTGCAGGTTCTTGTTTCATGTCAAGTTGCTCAGCATACGACATCCCAGGGTGTGTCGATGTAGTAGATATGAATGGTGACAAGTCCAGGGTTCTTAGCTAAGTCAGGTATGCATTCAGGGCCGTTGGACACTATTGCCTGAAAATGGAAAGTTTATTATGACGGCATTTTAGAAAGTTATGTACATAGGGTACGTGCACTAAAGTACTGCTGTACAATTAGCCCATATTTGACAGATGTCAAATCCATACTATAGCAGCATGTCAGCAAAGAAAAATAAACCTTAGGTAATTAAAATGAGTTTGACCTCCGACACACCTCGGACACTTCCATACAACGGGCTCGTTATAGACAACTGTCATTTTTACTTATGTAAGTATGTGTGCGTGACGACAGGCGTGTGAGTGCAGGGTTGAGATTCGCGAGTTCGCGACTAATGACTACGTACAGTACCTACCAAAGAGGATGTAATAAATAAAATAATGTACCTACCGACTAGTTGCTGCTAATTTAACATTGTTTAGGGGCCTACATCGATCTATTACGTTATTAATTGTGAGTCGAAAGTAGTTAAGAATACGAACCGATTACTTCTTAGGTAGGTAGGTTTTTGCCTCTTTTCTTCCCGCGGAAAACGAAAAAGTCTCCTGTCTGGGTCTCTGTTTGTGGACATACAGCCGTACACGGCACAATATTGCACCATTTTTTATTTTATCCAACAATTTTATTATGAAATACTTTTATCCGTCTGCAAATCTAAGGCGAACTCAATTCAAATGTTCGCGCCTTTTTTGTGGACATGAATATGGCCGGCACCTCCTTCGTTTCAGTCTACAAGAAACCACGATGAAACCTTCTTAGATGAAACGAACATGCAACAAGTCCAGCACCATACCTAGCACTTTGGTTCACTTAAGTCTTCACTAATTTTTTGACATTTCGCGGGCGGGGGCGGGTAAGCAGCGCGGGTGCGCGGGGGAGAGTGTCCGTTCTGTATGTAGTACTATACTACATACTATTGTCTATTCTGTGCCTCCGATTCAAAATACAGCGCAATCCACGGATACGGTTATTTATGGATACGGTTAAAATCTTAGGTTAAAATAGATTTAAGTTCATACCTGTACTTCTTCCTTTGAGGGTCTCTCGAACCAGTCCCCTTCCGCCACCGGGAACCTGCCGAAGGCTTGCAGACCAGTCCCGATGATCTCGTTGTCTGAGTCATAAAGAGCGAACCAGGGGAACAACTCATCGTTACACTCCGTTTCAGGGGTCAGACGCCAGTAATGGTTCCCTTTAAAGGAGAAAGAAAGTTCAGACTACATAAGTGCAAAATGCTGAAGACTTGAAAAATAAACGTAGCCCTTAGCACAGCCAATGCACGCACGAAACCACACCCTCCTCTAGCTCTAGTTTTCCATTTTAGGCAGTATATTTCGAGTGAGGCCTCATTCATCATCATCATCATCATTGACTTCATACGTCTGTGACAGACGATTCATTCAGTGTCTGAGACAAGACTCTTCATGACTGTATAATCCGATACGGGAGCGGCAGGTCTTTCCGCATGCTCTACAAGTGAAGGTGGAATTGGAGTGTGGCCTAGTTCCCTACTAAATAGGCTGGTGTAAAAAAAGGTTCCGAGGTTCAGAGACTTTGACTGTTAGTAGCTTGCTTTTTATTGGACTTTGAATGACAAACGTTTTGAATGATTCGTGTGGAGGCTCCAGACTTCAGTGGAGGATCTCAATCCTCTCTCCGCACTTGCCTGCCATGAGCGGTTACGCTTCTTGAAGGACTTAAGATAGGCACTTATTGACGCAAAGTTGCAGAGCCTCGAACACATTCGCAAAGTAGCTTGCATGTCAGTATACTACAGGATACATTTCGGAGAGTGTGCGCAGTCTCTCCATGACCTGATACCTCCGTAACCATTCCATCTCCGGTGTACGAGACGCCGGTTGGGATTCTACCCTTATATCGTAGACATCTTGAAAATTCGCACATAGCGTTTCGTATCTACATTTTTAATGCGAACTGCTAAAGAGTGGAACTCCCTGCCTGCGGATCTGTTTCCGGAACGTTACAACCAGGGCCTTTTCAAGGCGAGAGTGAATAGGCATTATCTGGGCGAGCATGTTCCATCATCGTCTGCATCGTCACTTTACATCAGGTGAGATTGCGGACAAATGCTTACCTATTTTTATATAAAAAATAAAGTGTCAGTCTCCTTACCCATCATAGGGATACAGGCTTGCTGGGTAAATCCGCTGATTTCCTCAGATTCGTGGCCCCACTGGAAGATCTCGATCCTGTCTCTGTAGTTGCCGCGGGCCCACACGCTTCTCCAAGCTTGCAACAAGTGGGTGGGGTCCCGGCCACTTTCACGCTCTTGGGGGTCGATTTCCAGAAAACCTGAATAATTAATACTACTACTATAAACAGATGAAAGCATATAGTTTGTTTATTTACCCTTTATAATGGGGGTGATCTTCTTCTAATCTGGAACAAATAACTACATACATACATAATATTTTCTTTTGTTTGTACAACTATCACTCATAATTAAAACAACTTCAACGGATTTTAGTTGTATTTTATTTAGGATTGTAAGTAAATTACCAAAGAAGAATCTATCCAAGCAAGAACTCGATGCGTTGAAGACCTTACGCAAAAATGAAGATCTGACCGTCCTCCGTGCAGACAAAGGGAACGCCACTGTCGTGATGGACACATCTGATTATAACCTCAAAATGTCATTGTTGTTGTCTGATGAAAAAACATACAAAAAAGTTACTAGAGACCCCACCAACTCTATTATGAAGAAAACAACCTCATTAATAAATAAACATAAAGACACGTTAGAGTTAGATGTGAAATCCTTACTACCAACTTGTGCAAAACCACCAAAAATATATGGCCTACCCAAAATCCACAAAACTGATGTTCCACTCCGTCCAATAGTGAGCCAGATTGATACACCAACTTACAAACTGGCCAAGCACCTAGCTAATGTGCTCTCCCCGCTCCAGGGCCAAACAAATGCACATGTAAAGGACTCATATCAGTTTGTTGGGGATATCAAAAACTTACAGATAAACAGTGATGAAACAATGGTTAGTTTTGATGTCCAATCACTATTTACAGCTATTCCAGTTAAGGACTGTATTGAAATAGTAAAAAGAAAGTTAAATGAAAATAATATGGCAATAGAATATGCAGAACTTTTGGAATGGTGCCTAACATCTGGTTACCTATTGTGGAATGATGAGTTCTATGTACAAGTCGACGGCGTGGCCATGGGCTCTCCAGTATCCCCCTTGGTAGCTGACATCTTCATGGAGGACTTTGAGGATCGAGCCCTGAGGCACGCTCCGGTCGTGCCGAAGATGTATAAGAGGTACGTAGACGACACCTTTACCATCCTCCCACAAGACAAAGTTACTGCTTTCCTAAATCATTTAAATTCAATCCATCCTAATATAAAATTCACAATAGAAACAGAACAAAACAATCAATTAGCATTCTTAGATATTCTAATAATTAAAAACCCAAATGGTACAATCAGTCACTCCGTATATAGAAAACCAACCCATACAGATAGATACCTAAATGGTAACTCCCACCATCATCCGAGCCAGTTAGCTGCCGTTGGAACCTCTTTGTTTCAGAGAGCACGCGGCATCTGTGACCCCCAACACCTAGATGGTGAACTAAAACATGTGAGACGAGTACTCTATGAAAATGACCTGAAACCACCTCGTCAACGTCACAGAAACCGTGCCAAACCATCCACAGTCGAGCGACAACCAGCATACTTACCATACCTAAAGGGTGTAACTGACAAGATAGGCAGAATTCTGAAGCGAGCTTCAATCAAAACCATTTTCAAGCCGCCAAGGAAGATCAGCCAGTACATTAGATCAGTCAAATGCAACATCCCTCTCCAAGATCCTGGTGTTTATAAACTTGACTGTGACTGTGGACTCTCATACATAGGGGAAACAAAGAGGAATGTATCTACACGTCTCAAGGAACATATTGCCGATGTGAGAAACCGTCGTGACAGACAGTCTGCAGTGTGTGAACATGTGATGGATAATCCCACCCATTATATCAGGTTCGACAAGGCTGCAATCCTAGCGAGAGAGAAGAGATTTGTCCCTAGGAAGGTACGGGAAGCCATAGAAATTCAAAAACATCCGAATTTCAACCGAGACACTGGATGGGGCATCTCACCAACTTGGACTCCACTGATCACACAGCGGAAGAACCAAAACCAACATACTGCAAGACCAACTTCACAAGACACGGTGTCTGCATTCTGCGTACAACCGGAACGTTATGCTAGGCAATTAAGAAATAGATGGCGGTAGAACAAAAATAATTTTAAATTCTAAATAATGACGTCTAACACCTTAGTCATCCGTGACCACGGGCACTGCAAAGTGTCCGAAACGTCGGGTTAATTACAAT